TTTTTTTTTAATTTGCATTTTTTTGACACTTTCATTAAAGAGTGACATAGCATGTTGTTCTACTTTTTTATTAAAATGTCACACACAATTAATTTCTAATTGAACAATACATCTTTGATGAAACTTTTAATTTGTTTATAAGAATTTCCTTTAGATGTTAATTTCTATCATTTTTTGAGTGACAAATATCAATTTTTTTAATAAAAGTGACATTGTATGTCATTTTTTTTAATAAAAAAGTGACATTGAGTGTTTGTTAATTTTTATTTTATTGTCACTTTTTTAATTTTTGTCACTTTTTTGAGTTTGTCATTTTTTTTAATTTTGTTACTTTTTGAGTGTTTGTCACATTTTAATACGTGTAACTTTTTTTTTTTTTTTTAATTTGTGTCACTTTCTTGAATTTATCATTTCTTTTAGATTTCTATCACTTTTTTTTAGTATTTATCACTTTATTAATGTTTGTCACTTTTTTCCAGTTAACTTCTTGTTTCTATCACTTTTTTTTATTGACAAGTATCACTTTTTAATAAAGGTGACAGTTAACTTTTAAAAAGTGATATTATGTCGCTTTTTTTAATAGTGTGTCACTTTTACAGTGATGAGTGTTTATGAAATTTTTTGACATTTACATCTTAATTTAGTCATCAATTTTCGTTAGTTGTGAGCTTATTGGAAACTTGGATGTATTTAAAATTCTGGATTATGATTATATTGTTCAAGTTGTTAGTACAAAAGTTTTTAATTTGTTTATCAGTTGTGAACTTATTGGATAATTTGACTATCTTGAAAATCATGGGTTACGATTTGTTACTCTTTTATTTTCAGTCACCTTTTTTTTTTTTTTAAAATTCTGTCACTTTCTTAATTTGCATAACTTTTTTTTTTAATTTGTGTCATTTTTTTGAATTCGTCACTTTTTTTTTTTTTTTTTTAGTGAAAATTTTGTAATGTGAGATGGTAACCGGTGTAAAATTATATGAAATGTCAGGTAAACAAAATGGATGGTGTTATATTTGGTGTTTGTCATTTTTCTGAGTTTAAGCCACTCTTTTTTTTTTGGTCACCTTTTGAGTAAGTGTCACTTTTTTTTTTTAATTTGTTAAAAAAAAGTGACATTCTGTCACTTTTAAATTTACACAGTATTTTTTTACTTCAAATTTTCCTTTTTTTAAATAGATTTTGTCATTTTTTTGAGTTTGTCACTTTTTTAATAATTGTCACTTTCTTATCTTCTTAAAAGCGTGACATGATATGTGATATTTTTCTAACATAATCAGCATATGAATTGTATTGGGCATGCTGATTATGTTAAGAATCGTCACTATGCTTATGTGGATTGTTCTGGACAAGTTAATTATGTTAAGAACATGACTATTGATGTTGCACAAATGAATGGTGTTATTTTGATGTTTTGGAGTGTTCGTACAACTTTTTTTTTTTTTAATTTTGTCACTTTTTTTGAACTATGTTAAAAAAAGTGACAATTTCTATCAAAAAGTGACACAGTCACTTTTTAATTTTACACAGTATTTTTTACTTCCAAAAATTTTTTCATATGATTTTTCAAAACACCTCTAATTTTAAGGGTATTTTTGTAAATTGCCCCAAGATTTCTGTATTTAATTTGCACGTTACAAAATTCGACAGTCAATACTCTAAAACAAGCATAGGAGATACTTGGCTAGGGTTGGTGACAGTAAAAATGCGATCGACACCTGCATGTCAAAGTCTGTTTGTTTTTTTTATTATTATTGATTTTTTTCAAATTGTCCAATCAGTGACCGACACATGTTACTTTGTCACAAAATTCTGTCTCCAATCCTCTTTGTGTAACATAATTCTTTATGCATTAGTTGGCATAATATAGCCAGTTTTTTGTTCAAAGTAGTGGGACCTTAGCTCTCTGGCTTCCACTATATATATATATAAACAACTTTAAACTAAAACAATGAGTGAAGCCCTACACACTCTTCATTTTTTTCCTTTTAATAATAAAACATTTATTTCTTTGTTTTCAGTAGTTTTCATCTTCTACATAAATTAATCAAAAGGAGGTGGCACCCTACATGAAATATATAGAAACATAGAAACAGGAACAAAAACCCCTAGAAATCTGCTAAATTCAGCTCAGACCAACAATGCATAGTCCCCTAAACTAATCCAAATTCAGCTAAATTTAGCACCTGTTCCTGTCCCTAATAAACCTAACCCTAACTATAACCCGGAAATTATTGATTACAACCCATATCTTTAGTTTTAATTTCTCGTTCCTAATCATTCTCTTCCCTGCATGAATGGCCCAGCATTGGCTGTCTTCATCCAGCTTTCCAGATTGACAAGGATTTTAATTATAGTATTAGCCAAAATATTCTTGGAATTTCTTTTGCTTGTCTCTACCTGAATGTTCCTCCAAAGGTAGGCGTCCAGAAGTCTGTTGCAGTCTCAGCAGCGACTGGGAACGTGCTTGACATTGGCACAAGGCAAAGTCCTCGGCTTTTTAAGTCTTGTTTTGACCCTCCTTCGGCAGAAAATTTATCGGCAGCCTGCATAAAACATTATGATTATCATTCCAAAAATATCAAATAACTGCATCGTTAAACATTCTTTTAAATAAAATTTGTGCATTTCGCAGTTAGTAGTATCTTTACATGCTACCTAACCAGGTTGCACAAAAAGGAAAATGTAAAATTAGGACACGATACTCAAAAATACCATTTTTGCGAAAAAAAAAAAAAAAAGAAAAAAAAAAGAGAGGAGAACTAGAACACGAAATGCTGTGGAAATGTTATATAAAAATACTTTAGATTTTTGCTGGGAAAAAAATGCTAGCCGTTTTGGAATTCTTGTACATTATAGTCGTACCTGTTGATGTTCTACAGACGATCCATTTGTCACGTAGGCAGTGCTTAATACATTCACTTGATCATGAAGAAACTTGATACATTCAATTGCTTCATGGAGAACTGAAGCTGTATCAGTCTGAAAGAGTAATTAACAACATAGCACTTAGTATTTTTAGTACAAAAAATAATTAGCTTTCAAATTAAGTATAGGATATTAATTAGTTTTCAATGAATAATTAGTCCAAATTTTTACCTTTCCGAAAGGTGAAACCAACTGTTGGAGGACAGTGATTCTGTCCCCTAGCTTCTCTTTTCGGACCTGATAACAAATGCTAAAGAGTTATCCATTTTTTTTAAAAATAATGATTTCACTTGTAAAAGGAAAAACATAAAGCTTAATTTAGTCAAAAGCTCAATCCATTATGCAGTACCTTAATGGTTGGTAATGGCGATGGTGTTTCAATTCGAGAACGCTTTAATGCAGGTTGGCTGCTAGTTTTCTTTGCCGCTGAGCTTAACCCTTGTGTTTCTCTATGTACACCCTAAAATTTTTGTCAAGATTGAAGCTTTAATCCGTTGTTAAGAGAGAAATAATAAATCTGATAAAATCGGACACCCACAAAACAAATACAAGATTCACAGTGATTCATTCTCAAAGCGAAGGCAGATTTTTCAATATATTCAAGAAGAAGATACGCCGCCTCACACACAATAAAAGGGCCCCTGGAAGAATCCTTCATATAAGTGTACATGTTATTAATCTCCCCATTTTCCCATTAAAATATATTTTTCAACGGTGTTTTGATAAAATAATATTACATGTAAACTCAAAACCTTTTATTTTTATTTTTTAACCACACATTCTCTATCAAATACTATTTTAAAATGGATTTTTTAAGGAAAAAAAGGGACTCAAACAATAATGAATAATTGATTTTACATGGTATAGAAAAAAAATGATGTTTACCTCGTGAAGATTAGGTTTCGCGTTTATATTTGATGGGGTGAACTGGGATTGTGTTGAATGGAGTAAACTTGCTCGAATATCATTTACAGATGCAGCCTTGGCATTCAACAGTGGTATGTTATTATAGAACCGTAAATGATTAGCAGGTTGGTTATATGGCAAAGAAGGCTTTGTCAAAGGAGAGAGCTGGGGAAAATAAGGTGCAAATTCATTCATCTGGTCACTTGTAGGAGATTGATAGTTCATTGCCTGGTTTTCTAACGACAAATTATGAGGCTGAGAGTCTGTATCAAATAAAAATTTCAACAACGATGAAGTGTTAACGGAAGAAACTTGTCCCCAGTTCTTGGAATTCCAGTCCTTTTGGATCTGTGGACAGCTCACCCCAGTTTGGGGCAGATAATTGATGCTTGAATTCAAGTTTTCTTGTAGTATATGAGCACAATTTCCCTGCGATATTCTTCCATTTTCAGGTCTACAAAATGACAAGAAGAAAAGAGATTAAAATTCATCAACTTGACATCCTTTTCCATAAATGATAACAAAGCAAATAAGTCTAAAATATACTTCTTTTAGGGCACCCAATAGAACACAGAAGAGTAAGGATTACGACTAACAATATATCTTGGTTCCAAAGATCAGGTGTTGATGATGAAATTTCAAAACCCATCATCTGTAGGGTTGAACCAATCGATATGTTGCCCTTGGCCTTGGTAATGAATTCTGAGTCTGGTTGCTGAGGTTTTTGAACATCTTGGAGTACTATAGAGCCATCAGAAGGCGAACTTGAGTCATCGTTAGACCTTGTACTCATGTCCATAATCATGTCATTAGGACATTCAAAGTTTGCGATTTCATTGATATTGGATGAACACGGGGAAGGACCAAAAATATTTCTGGACGAATTCCACCAGTTTCCTCCACAAACCTCGCCTTGAAAGTACTCTTCTGCCATGGCAATTACTTGTTAATCTCTTATTCAATCCTTTGACAAAATTAATCTTCTTTTCCAGCGCTAGTCTCCTTGTGCTTCCTCTCGCTTCTAGTTGTCTTGTGTTCTCTACAAGTTTGGTTCATATATATATATGAAAGTGAAATCTAAGGTTGGTACAGACGTAGCTATGTGTTTTTAGTTACCTTGTTTAAAAGTTGAAATCAGAAAAAAAAAAAATTATTTATTAAAATTGTGTTTTCAACATGTCCGTGACTTAAACGTGAGACTCAAGTTGTCATTTAAATATCTTACGCGTACAATTTTCGCATATAGGTGATTACGAGACTCAAATTGATCAATATTTTTATATCCATTCTAACTTATTTAATTTATTTAGAAATGTCTTTGAATCATAAATGTGAAACGATTGAAAATTCCTGTAAGTGGTTGACATTTTAAGGGTTTTATGATTAGAAAAATAAATCAAGTAGCTAACAAATATTGAACAATGACATCCAAAAAGTAAAAGGAATTTTGGATCGAATTCTCCTTCATATTTAATATTATCTTTACTTTTTCTTTATTTAATTATTTTTCATTTCTAGATGACTGAAATACAAACCATAAAAAAATTCCTACTTGCTTTCGAACAAAGGTATGTGATATGATGGCGAAACTTGATCTGGCTGCCATGTCACAGTTTCAGCTGAATTTTGTACCTTTTGCCAAGATAAATTTTTTTACGTTTGATATACAATATTAAGCTTTATTATTTTTTTCATTCAATTTATTCTTGTCCACCATCGAATATATCATAATTGTTTGTCTACAAAATCAGAATTTCAGGAATTCACTCAGTTAGTAATATGGTATTAATGTCAACCTTGAGAGAGAGAAAAAAGAAGAAGAAAGAACTAACGATAAATATGAAGCTACATGGCGTTGACTCGTGTATGTCAAGGGCAAGTTAGGTCAGTTCCACAATTAGATTTTCCATGACAAAGTGATGCCCCTGGACTTCATTTAATTTCTTGTAATTGACACACAATCCAATTAATTATTAGAAAAAAAATGTTTAGCACAGAGAATTTTTGTTGCATTTGACTTGTTAAATGTATTCTATCAAAAAAGGGACCTATTACAAAGAAGTCAAGAATCACCACCTTTTATATTTGTTATAATCTACTGGCTCAAAACTTAGGTCTTTTGGTAGATGGACGAACTTGGATTTACTCAAGAGTTACAAGAGTACGTTTGATATGTTGAATCGAATATAATGAATAAAATTAAAAGAGAGTCATGTGTAGTATTGTCTGATCTAACATATCAAATCTGCATTAAATGTAACATGTTTGGCTTTGCTTCTTTTGAAGAAGTAGCTTTTCTTGATGATATTATCAAAGAAGGATGCTAAATGAGTCTTTAAATTAATCCAGTTGACCTACTAGAGACGTTTCAATAGGGAATGAATAGTTTGAATTGTAAGTCCACTGCATTTGCTAGGCAACTTCATTTCTAATTTGAATATCACGATAAAAAAACAAATTTTGCAAACTCGAGTGCAATTTGTTGGAGTTTAATATAAATAAGTTAATTGGCAAACTCAAACTTTTATACCTAAAAATCAAGAATTGATCATCGTTCGTTTCCAAGAAGCTTCCAAGTGTCGTCACCGTACACGACGGGATTAAGCCCCTGTTTGATCCTCATTAAATTAAATTACATTATATTCTATTTTTATCTCTTTTATTTTCAACCATACAATCTTCCATAAAATAATATTACACGTAAATCGAAAAAATTTTCTTTTTTTTTAATCACTCATTTTTCTAAAAAATACTATCATTTTCAGGTAATGGGATCAAACTGGGCTTAAGTTGGGTGGGTGAAGTCGTGATAAACTGAGTGGGCAGTTTGAAGTTGGAGGCAAAGCCAAGTGCTAATCATTCATGTGGCGAGGGATGCTCACACGAGTCAGACCAAGGGTCCACAAACAACACGCGCATGACTTGACCCTTTGGACTTTTCTGGCCTTCAAGTGTCAAAATTACTTTAATTGTGACAGTTTATAATATAAAAATTGAGACCAACTATAAAGATAAAATGGTGAAGTAACCTATTACATGGAGCCACGAGATGTATATATATATATCCATTCGTTTTGAGAATTACATAAATTACATCTAAAATTTGTTTTACACACATAATTCCATTTTACACCATTTTTGCAATCACATCAAGTTTTCAAGAATTATCAGTTTGAGAGAGTATACTAATTTCTATTTTAGAAGTATACACAATGATAGGAGACTATGGTTCGTCGCAGAGATCTTTCTCCTCTCCTTTCAAGTCATTTTCATTACTAGAGTTCGTCTCTTTGAACCCGTCTGCGATTGTGTAAATAGATAAGATTCAAAAT